AAAGTCTGTTATATTCTGAGTGTAAGTGAAAGTCAGAAAACTTTATCGTTATAGCTAAATTTTCAAGCAACTAGTCTAAGCTAAATTAATCTATTCCACCATTCCATTTATGAAAACTTTATATCTTCATGGAACATCTTCAATATATATGCACACTAATCAACTTTGCATTGTCATGACTCAAAGATACCCTATTTTGTCCGATTCCCTACTTACCTTAGTATCTGAAGGCTTCATTGTGTAGGGGAAAATGTTTATTTGTGTTTTTTATTTTTTGGGGGGTCAATGATGAATGAACCTTGTCTTTCTGGGAATTTGATCTCTTCATATGTCAAAATGCTATAACCTCGATATGCATTTCAATATATTTGATATTCACTAAATTTCAAAAAATGCTTCATTGCTCAAAGAAATGTAATTTTAAAAAAGTTCAAGCCTATAGAAGATAAATTCAAACAAGACATTGTTTCCTAGGTAACATAACTCTATGGTAATTGCGGTGATCTCCTTTTGTATCGTCTCAGGATGTCCTATTCATTGGTTGTGGTATTAACTCTATAGGAGTTCATCCCCTTGAGAATTTTCATACAGTCTTCTAACTATCTTATTTTATCCCTCATCTTCCGAAACTTGTCATTCGCGTCAAATTCTGGAATACGATAGTCTTTCAGATTTGTTGATATTCTCCTGCAAAAAATTAATTTAATCCTTTTTCAGTTGGGTAGAAAGTTCTTTAGTTTAATTCAAAATTCAAAATTTTTGCAGGAAAGCTTAAGTCGAAATGGCTCAGACACTTGACAGTAGTCGGTATTTTTCTACATGGGGCTGTTGAAGTCAAAAACGGTTCCAGTGCTCGATTTAAAGTAAATGGACAAAGGCTCAAACCTTTTTATGAAAATTCACCGATTGAGTTGATCGAAAAAATTTACTTGGTTGAATCGAGAGCTTAAAGAAATGTCATCGAGCTTAAATGAAGTTAAACAAAGTGCTTATGGGAGGCAAACCATTTTTTAGTTTTATTTCATTAATTTCCTTGCAATTTAAATTTTGTTCTTAGTTTTATTTATTGTTTAGTGCATATTAATCTTTTGTTTTAATTTTCAGGACCTCGGTGCATTTTATCAGAGTTAAAACGGACTCAATAGCAAAAAATTTCAGCCGGGACCAGCCAAATTTATGCCAAAATCAAGTAGAGCCGCGTGAAATCTGTCTCCAAACTCAAACGATCTATTTCATTAAAGTCGTCGCACGTTAGCATTCCCAAAATAGGCGTGAAGCGTGTTAGCAAAGTCACCCCACTTTGACTCCCACTTTTTATCGTACACCTCTTGATCGGCCAATTAGATTTGGTGTTTTAATTTTTGAAACAACCCCATCTTATCCCCACGTGAGCTTTAAAAAATTCCCTTTTCTTTATTTTAACATACTCGTCGCCATCTCATTCTTTACTTTTGCTTTTCTTTATTTTTCTTCTTTTTGGCCGACTCCTCCATTTATACCCTTTCTATTTTTCTAACGTGCACTGCCACATTCCCGGAGATCAACCCGCCACTGTCAGTTTAAAAAAAATGGTTCGCACATGACGCCAAGGTAATGAAGGGCATTCTATTCCACCTACTGTCCTCAGTGGACGCCGTGTTTTGCCACTCCAACGGTATTCATGGACGTCTCGAGTGACTCCGAACCCACTCCACCTCCTCCTTGTCGTAGTGGTTGATGGAAGTAAACCCGAGCACCTATAAATGAAGAGCCTGAGTTATTCAATGCGCCACCACTATCTCCACCGTCCGTGCACCGTTACTCAAACTGCGTCAACATTGTCAAACCAAACCTTTACTGATCGTCCCCTCCAAGGTCGCCTACACCATAATTTCACTCCATGCTGACAGTGGCCTCTTCCTCTTCTTCTCGACCATGATACGCAACGCGTTCGGTCGTACCTTCATTTTCCATGCATTCTGTTGAAACCAATAACGGTCTTGAGTTTCTCATCGCATCATCGGCGTTTCCTTCTGATCTCCAGTCTGTTTTCGCTCTCCTTTGTTTTTTCCTTCTACTGATATGGATTGGAGAAAGCTTTTCGATTGTCAAACAAATCAAGAACTTTACTTTTTTTCCCCAAATCAGAACAACAAAACCCTTATTGTTCAACCTCCTCCTGAGGTCTTCGAGGCTAGAATGACAGAGTGGAAGACTTCTCTGGTAGGGCAGTTCCTTGGTGCAGCCCCAAATTTTATCACTCTACAACAAACCATCAAAAAGCTTTGGAATCATCAATCACAAGGGGCTCAAGCACAGGTAAGTCTCGCTGGAAATAACCTGTACATTTTCTCATTTAGCTCTATATCAGCTAGAGACTGGGTCCTAGATAATGGCCCTTGGCATGTTCTTCATAAACCTTTAATTCTTAGGAAATAGGAACCCAATCTCCAAAGACTAAATTTTGATTTATCAAGACTGCCACTTTGGGTTCACCTTTATAATAATCCTCTTGAATTGTTTTCAAAGGAAGGCCTTAGCTATATAGACAGTTCCCTAGGAGTACCTCTTTCAATGGATTCAATCACTGCTTCCAAATCTAGGTTAGAATATGCTAAGGTTTGAACTTCCTGAAACTGTTGAAGTAATGCTAGCCAATGGTCCTACAACTACTATATTTGTTAATATTCCTTGGTTTCCTAATAGATGTAGGAGATGCAACACGTTTGGTTACTCTGATAAAGGATGTTTAGTCAAAACATCCTCTGCCCCTACTATTACTAAAATCTGGAGGATAAAAAATAATCACAATGAAAACTCTGATCTTAAATCTCAAGAAAAATCATCTCTGCAAATTCTTTTGTCTGATCCTTCCCTTCAAAATTCACTGCCAGATGTTATCCCTTCAAAAGATCAGACTGCTTCAAATGGAAAGGAACAAGTTAATGAACCTGGAAATAACAATCCTATACAAAAGGTTCAACTTTCTAAAAGTGACTCTCTTATTCCTATAGATTTGTTAATTGAGGATAATAAAGAACAGTCATCTGAACCTTCATTTTCTGAAGTCCTAGTTAATGGTGAACAACCTCCTGAAACTGCTTCCATAACAAATAATTCTATAATTAATCCTAAAAGAGGTAGAAGTAGACCCCTTAAGAACACAATAAAATATGCTATAAGAGGTTCAGCAAATAGATTTGAAATCCTCTTCACAGTGGATGAATCTTCTCCTTCTTCTGAGATTCAACCCAGGAAAGCAAGAACTGCTGCTGCTGGGGTTGCTAAACTAATCAAAGAGATCAAGTCTAAAAAGAAAGACCATATTAATGAGATCAAAAGTACCCCTAGAAAAAATATATAGGGCTCTTCCTCCTCTATTTCTCAATGATCATTTCTTTCTGGAACATAAGAGGATTCAATAATCCTCAAAAACACATTAAGGTCTTGAATAGAGCTAAACTCTATAATGTTGATGTTCTATGTCTGTTAGAAACTCGGGTCAAACCTGAAAATTCTGATAAAATCTTTCATAATATTTTAGGGAGCTGGAATATCATCAATAACTATGATTCTGCTGTCAATGGCAGAATCTGGCTTCTCTGGAAAATAGGCATTGGTCTCACTCATTGCTACTCTACTGATTAAAGTATCACTGTTAAATACCTTAATAATAACACTTCTTTCATTATCACTGCCATTTATGGTAGTAATAGTGGTTCTCAAAGAAGATCTCTTTGGCAATATCTCAAAATTCTTGATTCCATGTATAGTTCTCAACCTTGGATTCTGTGAGGTGATTTCAACACCTACCTCCATCACAAAGAAAGCTCTGACTCTCACCTTCTTGGTCCCTACTCTACAACTGATATGCTTGACTTTCAAGAAATAGTTCAAGACCTTTCTCTACAAGATCACCCATTTTTTGGCCCCACTTTTTCTTGGAGCAACAAACAACAAGAAATTTATCTTGCTAGAAAACTGGATAGGGTGTTAATCAATCCTCCTTGGGATTCCTCTTTTCAAGGATCTTTTGTTGAATTTCTTTCTCTAGGTCCCTCTGATCACAGTATGGCCATGGTCTGGACTTCAAAAGAAACTCAAACCAATATACCAAAGCCATTCAAATTCTTTAATTTCTAGACCAAACACCCTAATTTTCTTGACGATGTTCAATCCTCTTGGCAACTTCCTACTCAAGGCAACCCGTTGCAGAAACTTTTCCTTAAGCTTAAACGTTTAAAACCTTGCTTGAAGAAGCTTAAGAGAACTGAGCTGGAGCATATTCAAATTTCTATTTTAAATGGGAAGAATTCTATTGAAAAAGAATTAACTATTCAAAAGGAGCTTTTTGTTCTTGAAGAAAATGAGTTCATGTTCCTTAAGAAAAAAACAAAGGTGAGGTGGATTAAAGATGGTGACAAATGAACTAAACTTTTTCACACTACTATTGCCTCTAAATTCAAAAGACACCATTAGGGTTCTTATTAACAATGAGGGTAAAAGACTTGAGTCCTATGATGATATGGCTAATGAGGTCATTGATTTCTTCAAGAATCAATTAGGAACTTCTGATCCTAATGTTCTTCCTAATGATTCTTCTTCTTGAAAAATATGCTTCATTTTTCTCTTCCTACTGAGACTACTTATGAGCTTACCAAAACAGTTTCTGCTGAAGAGATAAAAGAAGCTCTGTTTAGCTAAGGCAATGAAAAAGCCTCAGCCCTGATGGTTTCACTCCCATGTTCTTCAAAAACTATTGGTATGTGGTAGGGGAGGATATTATCAATGATGTTCTATACTTCTTTCAAGAGGCTAAAATTCCCCCTGCTTTCAACTCCACCATTATAGCCTTGATTCCTAAAATTCAAAACCCTAGTAAAGTCAAAGATTACAGACCCATCTCTTGTTGCTCAGTGGTATACAAAATTATTACTAAAATCCTTGTTAAAAGACTTTCTTTGTTGTTGCCTGATCTCATTACCCTCAACCAAACTGCTTTTATGAAAGGAAGATCTATAATGGATAATACTCTTCTTGCTCAAGAATTGGTGAAAGGCAATGGAAGGAAAAACATTTCTCCAAAGGCTGCTATAAAAATTGATCTTCTAAAAGCCTTTGATTCTCTCAATTGGGATTTCATTTCCTCTACTCTCTTTGCCATTGGTCTGCCACCCACTTTCATAGGATGGATTGAAGCTTGTTACAAAAAAGCTAGATATTCCATATCCTTTAATGGAACTTTAATATGATTTTTTCAAAGGTCATAGAGGTATTAGGCAAGGAGACCCTCTATCTCCTATTCTTTTTATGATGGCTATGAACATTCTCTCTAAAATCCTCAATCTTGCTGCTGCCAGAGGTATCTTTGGATACCATCCAAAATGCAAAAAACTAGGTATCACTCATCTCTCTTTTGCTGATGATCTTTTGATTTTTTGCAAAGGTAATCTTGAGTCTATTGTTGGTGTTACCACTGTTCTAAACCACTTTTATACCTTGTCTGGTCTTAATCTTAATATCAATAAGACTGAATTTTATGCTACTGGTATTTTTGTCGGAACCCTAGATTCTATCAAATCTGCCACTGGTTTTAAACAAGGATTTCTTCCTGTTAGATATCTTGGTGTTCATCTGGTTACTAGAAAACTTACTGAAACTGATTGTATGCCTCTCATTGATAACTTCACAATTGGTCTGGAAAACTTTTAAGCTATGCAGGACGCCTTGAGCTTATTAAAATTGTCCTCTATAGTGTTGTTAATTTTTGGTGTCAACAGTTCCTTATTCCCCAGAAGGTTATCAATCGACTTGAACAGCTATGTGCTCGTTTCCTTTGGAAAGGATCTGATAAAGCTGCAAAGGGTACCAGAATTAGCTGGAACAAATTATGCTGCCCCAAATCTGAAGGAGGTCTGGGCTTGAAAGATCTTAGCTCATGGAATAAGGCTTGCATGGTCCAACTCATTCGAAAAATCCTTACAAGTAATGGTTCCCTGTGGGTTGCTTGGATTCACTGTTATGTTATTAAAAACAGTGGATTAAGTGACATCAATGGAAGTTCTTCTTTAAGATGGAGCTTTAGAAGACTTCTTAAACTTAGAACAGAGGCCCTCCCAATCATTTATGATGGAATCACTAAAACCTCTGCCATTTGGGATGAACTAAGGGAGCATAGAGATAAAGTTCCATGGCAGAAAATGCTCTGGTTTCCTCTCCATATTCCCAAACAAAGCATTATTTCTTGGATGATTATTCTTGATCGTCTTCCTACTCGTGATAGACTTTTCAGAATGGGAATCACTACTGATCAGATATGTATCCTTTGCAATGTTGAACCCGAATCCAGAAATCATTTGTTTTTTTAATGTGCCTTTGCTTCTACTATCTGGAACTCTATCATGTTTCTTACCAACTTACGAGATACTCACAGGACTTGGGATGCAAGAATTGAATGTGCTGCTCACAAATGGAAAGGAAAATCTTTACTTTCCATCATCCTAAGAATCGCTTGGAACACTTTTAGCTACTTGATTTGGGAGGAAAGAAACATGAGGATTTTTAAAGGTGGATCAAGAACAACAGACCAAATTCTTAAGTTTGTCAAGGAATTTGTTCGTATTCAGCTTAGTGATAAAGATATTAATAGAATGGATCATATAAACTCTAATCTTTGAAGTAATTAGGGTCTCGACTAATGATTTTTTTTCTTTTTTTTGTTGTAAAAAGGGGTAAATTTCTACTTCTTGGGGTGCCTGTTATTTGTTGAACTTTATTCTTGGATAATAAAATCTTACTTATCTAAAAAAAAAAATAACGGTCCTGAGGTAAATTTTGAACATTCGAGCGTTACTATTGTATCACTCTTATTTTGGCTTTACAGAAGACTTCTCGGTAGATTATTTCGCAAAACAACCTGACACGAAACCATTACATCAATATCATTCCTGGCAGCATTCATCCCATAACATGCATCGAGTTCAAACGTCTTTCCATCACCTCCAGGCAGCCTACCATCGGCATCAGAAAATCCTAAGCGAAATTGGTGTGGTTGATCATATGCAGTCCCATCTGAGGAGTGCCTAAAATGTTTTCTCCACTTCGAAAATGAACAGCTGGTTCGTTTCGAGGACATTCGACATCATCCATTCAGAGTCTGTAAGTTTATCCCAAATTGAACCCTCGAAAATCTTTACATTCAAGATGTTGTTATTGCGTACTTTGCTGTAATTTGTTGGACTTTCTTTTCACAAATTAAAAACGACATCTTTTAAGAAATGGTTTTTGAGTTTTATTCAACTTTCTCGTTTACACAGTCGTGATTTATCACTGTCGAGTCTCCTGGTGTTGTTTCATTTCGTTTGTGTGGAAATCAATTTGTCATGTCTATTTCTGATTTTAATTTTGCAATGGGATTCGGGGGGATGTCACGAATCTAGATTATTTAACGGCTTTGACTGATATGCCCAATGACTTTGATGCTAATTCAGCCTATTTCTTTCTCACCAGTTTCGTCAACCAGCACTTTGATCCTCGCTCAACGAAGGCTATCAACATTCACGACCCGACGCTGCACTACATTCACAAGTTCCTCGCCTACAATTATTTCGGTAGGAATGATTCTTCTGGCATTCTAAGTAAGACTGAGTTATTTTTTCCTTTGGTGTATATTCACTTGAAGAAAGGTAAACCTTGGTTTTTGGTTCGCACGACAATTTAATATCGTCATTCGATCTAATTTCCCTCTAATACTTGGTCCATACATAACTCATTTAGTCACTTGTATAGATAATTTTAATGTTGTGGATTATACTTACGCATTCTATGGATGGACTAGATGAGTGTTGTTTGGATTCCATGGGCTTGCTTGCCAGTACCCCTTCACGCCATACCTTGCTCCGACAGGAGTGATGACACTGAGAACCAAACCGGTTTTCACTCACCGGAATGTACTACCACGCACTCCACCACCACCGCATCCAAATTTGCAAAACCAAGTGCCTAATTTTACCGAGCGCTTCCATTCCTTTGAGGTGAATATTACAGAAATCCTCTCATATCTCTGCCCTAGCAGTTGTCATGGTCGCGGTTGCCCGTAAACATGGTGGTACTCTTTACCCTTCTTTTTTGTGCTGTAATTTTTCTTCCGTATTAGGGCAATAAGATTAAGTGAGGGGTAAAGATTGAATCAAATTCCATCTACTTGTCTTTTTATTTGTTTGATTGCATGTTTGATTGAATGGGTTGGAAGCTTGTTTGAATTTTTTTCCTTTCCGTCGATTATCTTTAGCATGTTGTGATTGTTTAAACTCATATAAATATTTTGAATTTAAACATTCTTGATAGTTGAATTGCATAAGCATGAATTTAATTAGAGGGTCGTGTGACATACCTTGATTTTGTTTGTTGAAATTTCACCTAGCTTGATTCATTGACTCACTTTGTGAGATTTTGAGCCTTAAGCATGTTTTTCTTCACTATTATGCTCTTTTTCTTGTTTGAGTGTGTCAAATTGGATATTGAAAGTCTACAACTTGTGGCATGATGTATTTTGAGACTACATATGAAATTCAGTGTTTTGATGTGATTTAGGCATTAAGTTTCACCCCATTTTTACCTAAGAAAAAACCTACCCTTTTTTTTTTCTCCATTAGTGAACCATTTTGAGCCTACATCCACTTCTTTGATTTCACCTCTATCTTAACTCGGGCCTTTTTATTTTTCACCCTCTTTTTCACCCTTGAAAAGACAAAGATTTGAAGTTCTGAGTGACCTTGTCCCATGAAAAAAACAAAAGAAAAGTTAAAAAAATAATAAAAAAAAACAGTGTGTTTGAGTTTGATTTTGCTTTTGATGTACATATTTTGATTGTTTCATTTGCTCATGGACTTGGTTGAATTATTGAAAAATTCTTTGTCTTGGTTTAAAACCTGCATTTTAGGATTTTCCCTACCTCTACCTAAGCCCCATTACACACTTTCTAAAGACCTAATGATCTTGCATCTTATTTCTTCTAAGTAGTGGAGAATTAATTATGTCACAAGCTTATTGAAATTCTTATTTGATTCCTACTTTGAGCAAAATTTTGCACCCAAAACACATTTGAGTTATTTGAATGAATCCTTGTGAGGAATTAAGTTAGGCTGAATTTTTTATTAATGAATGATAGGAAGTTGAAAGGTTGTTTGATTCATTATTACTTATGTTTATTCACTTGATTGGTGTTTGATTCATATAGTTATTGTGAGCTTGATTTTCATAATTTACTTAAGTATGAAATGGATTGGAGGAAGGTAAATTAAGTTCTTAACTAGTTTGATTCAAGTATACTTGAGAACAAGTATAGACAAGTGAGGGGGAATTTGATGAGTGCTTGCAATTGACACATTTTGCTTGCTAATTCTCTTGCTTTATGAATTTTTCACTACTGATTTGAATACATTTCGTTTATTTTTTGTGCAGTGACTTGCTTACTGGAATTGGTAGTAAAAGGGAGCATTCTGTAACTTTTTATTTATTTTTTGTTCGCGGATGGAGATATGGCATGACACTGGGCACGACACGGAGCTGACGTGGTAGTATCTGGAAGACACTAGAAGATTCTGGAAGCAAGTTCAGTTAGCACGATTATGGGGAGAAATTTTATGAATTTCAATTTCTTTGAATTGAATTTAAAATATTTGAATTGTTATTGTCACTTAATATTATTTAGGATTTTCAATTTGAATTCTCTTTATTTTTAGGAAATTAGAAGCCTATAAACACCCTAGTATGGGTAAGACCTAGGAAAGCTATCAATTACTTTGTTTTAAATTTTATTTTTTAATTGAAGTTTCTTTTTCTCTTCTTACTTTCATTATCTTCCAATTATTTTCTTGTTGCAAACTATGCTAAGTATGATCAATCATATTATGCTTAGCTGATTTCTTTTAAGCTGAGAGCTAGTACAATCGATTCCATACGTGAAAATTGAACATCGCTTAAATCCCTCTGGGATCATTCTCAATTTTCTAGATAAAGAGTTTGGCAATCAACCTTACTTACAATATTTAAACACTTTCAAATAAAAAAGTCAAAGTTGGTTTGAATGTTGTTTAAATATACCATTGGGAGGAAGGATCGACCTGTGGCAATTCGACTTCCTATGAACACGCTTAGCGACGGTCCACTAAGAGAAAACGAGATCGGAATCGATTCTCAACGAGACAATATCTAAGTCGGCCTTTTCAGTTTTTAATATGACTGTTTTAACGGCAATAAATGTGATTAATCCACTCAAGAATCATCTTTCGAAGATAGAATTGGGAAGATCGGTAACATGAGAGGAGGGCAAATTACAATGGGTTGGGCCTTGTAGACTGTAACAGACATGAATCCCGTAGCAAATATCAATTTCAATGATCGGTGGAGTTGAGACAAGCTAGCTCGAGGTGATTTTCCTTATTTGTGATTTCTAAACTTTATTTCATTTCTCTTTTGATTTACTGCTTACTCAATTTTTAGACTTATTTTTACTTTAGCCTTTTTTACTTTCTTCATCTCATCTAAATCATGCCTACCTCCTCTTATTTTTATTTGTTTAATTACTACTTTTGAATATGAACTTGAAATCTATTTGCGTATAAATTTTGTATTTTCCTGTGGATCGAACCTCTTTCTATACTACACTTATTCATTTTGAAGAGGATTTATTTATTATTTTTGACGAGTAAAATGACGCTTGTCAAAGAGTCTCCCGAGTACCTTTGAAAGTTTTTTGGGTGCGATTACCAACTTTGATGGTGGAGCAATGCCACTAATTCTTCAGATCCTTCTGCCCCAGGAATTTTTACAAAGTTTCATCTTGTCAGCCTGGTAGCAATCTGATCAGCCAAGCTACTTTGGTTCTTCGTGAATGTCCTTGTGGTTCTATCTTATTATGTTTTTCATATCCTTTTGGTAAAATTTTCTTCGATCTCCTATAATATAACTTCCATTTGAATCGAGTATTATGCATTCAAGATGGGTCCAGTGCTTTTTCCACTTTTATGGATAAAAATGATGCATGTTAGCAAGCTTCTTAAATTAAAGTGCAAGAATGCAAAAATGCATGATGAATGCATGAAGATTTCGAGGAATTGATCTAGAAAGTTCCTCTCATAATAGAATAACCTTCATTGAGACAAAAGTGTTATTACAATGAGGCCAAAATCATTTATAGGTATGCTTGCTAGATTTCTTGAACTCTGTACAACTTCTAGTAGGTTTTTATTTCATCATAATCCCTTGGTCACGTTCTGAGTGCCTTGTTTTATTGCCCCAACGTCTTTCGTCAAACCTTGCGGGTAATGAGTGGTTTTGTGAGCTTGCCCCAAGAACCACGGATGAT